ATTTTTAATCTGAAAAGAGCTTCACTGCGTGAGAAGTAGGGTTAGGAGCTCAGCAGACAGTTTCAGTTTCACTTTCAGTTTCACCCGACAGACTGCAGGAGTCATGGGCGAGGTGTGTGGGGAGGGCGCTCTGCCACGAGGATGTTTGGCTTAAAGACACGCCCCAGGGGCGTTTCTGGTCCCCACCTTTCGTTTTGCTCCTCAGCATGGCTTCCTAAAAACGCTGCAGGATTTCTCAAACATGCATGAATGAGTCAGAGCAAGGCTTTGGGCATGTTTTTTTTATGAGAGTATAACATTATAACATGATATAAAACTCAAAAAAGTTGATTTTACATGATTTTGCCTCTTTAAAATATGCCCAGTGCTTCATGAAATGTTCTGTTAAGAGGTAGACAGGTGCAAACAATTATTATGGAAGTTTTAAACAAAAATTTTGTGCAAATTGTAGCAAGAAGTGGTGGGGAGGAGGCTACCGTGCAACATTTTAGCTCAGTATCTGTTAAAAAGGCCGTGTTTGTGAGGTCAGTTGGGAGTGGCAGTCATCTTGAAATCAACTGACTCCCAAAAGGTAAAGCGTTGTAGATGTACATCCATTGATTGCTCTCTGAGGGTATGAGGGCAAATACAGTTTGGGATTTGATCAAGATTCAGGGGAGTTACCAAATTTCCCTCTGGGATCAATAAAGTATTTTTGAATTTGAATTTGAATTGAATTCAAGCAGACACTTATTCATCATGTGATACCATCAAGGTGCTGTCTGATTGGCTCCAAATGCATTCTGCAGCAAGACAACAGCCCAAACATACGAGCAACCCCATTAAGAACTGTCTTCATATAAAAGATGAACAAAGCATCCTGGAAGTGGTGGTGTGGTCTGCACAGAGTCCTCAGAATCACTGAGTGTTTGGGGATACATTAAGAGATCTGAGCCAGAGCCGAGCACGATCTGCGGTTAGTGTTTTTAGATGTTTGAAATATGCAGAATAATTTCAAAAATGTTAGGAAATTATAGCCAAACCAAAAACTGATTTGATGGAGATTTCTCTTCTGTTTGTTCACTCTGCTCGTTAATTTCAAAAGGCCGACTCTTCCTTTTCATTGCAGTGCAATTAATCACTGCTGTGCTGCAAAACAGACTGAGCAAAGTGAGCTTTCAGGAATTCGTGGGCAGATGTTTAAGCAGATTTGTCATTTCTCATAGAAATTCTTTTCATTTCTTTCTCTGCGGTCTGTTTTCCTGACAGGCAACCTCAACTGGACGGGGAGCGAGTTCACGTACAACACGGGCGCAGGCCTCGTGATCAGCCACCCGGAGAACGTCACGGGGCAGAGCTACACGGTGGTGGAGCAGTTACGGACCATTTTCGAGCGGGACTGGTTTTCACCTTACGCCCGCCCGCTTCAGACTAACCAAAACTCCGTTTGCAGCACGCACCAAGTGGCCAAACTGGTGCCGGACAAAGCCAGCCACGGTGGACCGGTGCCTGTCAGAGCAGGTCTGTTTGGAACTGGATCTGCACCTCTGAGGAAAGCCCTCAACAACGATGGACTCACATTAAAACCCCACCGTGATGACAGATTAATAAAAATCAGTCACCAAAACATTGCCAATGAACAGGCACCAATTGTGGACAGTCCCAAAGAGATGACAGGAATCCAAATGACTCACCTCGATGACAGACAGACACAGAAAATCGATAACAATCGTGACGTCTCACTGGATCCAACCGGTCAGTCAGCTGAGAGCAGCGGCTTCAGGGAGGTGTCCAACATCTCTCTGTGACTTTCACTGGAAAACTCTTTGCTCTCTTCAAGCGTCGGCGAGTTCTACCACTGGATCTTAGTAGCATTTTTATTTTCTAGTAAATCAAAAACTTTGAAGGTTTAATCAAACCTGGTTTGCAGATCTTCAAACATCAAAGATCATGGGAGAGAAAGGATCTCTTCACTGCAGCTGGTTTATTTTCATTTGAATGGATCAATGATGTGTGTACAAAAGGAACTTGCTACTTGTTTATTTTAGTTTTGTTTACATTGAGATTTCTCAATTAAAGAGGTATTTCACTTTGTACTAACTGCCTGAAGATTGTATGTAAGGTGCATTTGGCAGTAATAACTTATCACCCTTTAAAAGGGAGAATAACGCCTGCATGCCTATGCAGAGACAGGAAGCAGAACAGTTTGTGCTGTGACACTAGCATTTAAGTAACTCCTCTGGTAATTTTTGTGACTTTTTAATAGTTTCCTCCTTATGTAAACAAGTAGCTTTTTTACCAAATAGACATGTGTAACCACAAACTAAAAAAAAATGGATTAAAAAATACAAAACAAAACCTCACATTTCTAAACCAGTCAAACTCGAGGTTAAATAGAAGAAATTTTATTTCATGATTAAGAAAAGGATTCAAGGATTGACAGACGGGAGATATGTTTGAACAATCGAAATAGGCCCGTTGCATTGACGCCATCAAAACCACGGAGAACTTGAAGATACACACCTTTTGGTGGATATATTTCCTAATGAAAGTTTGAAGGTTGCTTTTAGCCTTTTAATGGACACACTCTCCTGAATATGGTGAAAGTTGACCCAAAGCTGAGAAACTGGAGCTCTAAAGACACTTATCGAATCAATAACCATCTCGCTCCAACCTCAAACACAGGGCGCAGCTGCAAAATCCAAGAAATCAAGCTTTTTCACAAGCACATGATGTTACGCATGAAAAGTTGGGTTTTTTTAATAAATAGTTACTGAATTTATTGTGTATATTACCAAACAGTATTCCTTTTGTGTTGCTACTCCTGAAAAACCACTACTTTGAGTTGCAGGGATTTACAGTACAGCATTTCTTTCCTTGGACCAAGACAAGGTATTGATCTGAAGGGCTCATAACAAATATTAAATGCTGTCTTTTTTGCATAAATCTACTGAAAAGAACAGAATCTGTAGCATCTTTCCAGACACAGTGTTGTAACTAACGGAGCAACTTGCTGTTAACAAAGGGGTCAATGGGTCTCTGCTGTCTGCACAATCAATACAATAAATTTTTAACAAAGCTGACAGTTGAAGTTGCTGCAGTTTTAAAGCTCAAGGACACGACGGCCTGTAAAGTCACGCCTGAATCTACTCTGCATTCCCTTTACTTTACCTGAACGTTTACTGTGGCTTGTTCGCAAAGACAAATGATTCAACACTTTTAATGAACGCTTGTAGCAAATACTCACGTTGCATTTTGAATGTCGGCATGTTGTCCGTGTTTACACAACTTTAAACAACCATGCCTGCCAGGGTTTATGATTGTGTCGAAAGGAATTGTAATCCCTTTACTTTCCTGAGCCATGAAACAAGAACAAACCGTTAACGTCATGGGATCTTTATGCATGTTGTTTTGGTCAGAGGATAGCAGGGTGAAAGATTCCTGTTAATTGAAGGAAGAATGCACAAAAAATAGCTATAAATGATTATTTATATTACATAATTTATCTTTGAGCCACTTGGGGTTTAATAAATTGTGATGGATCATGTTTTGCATGGCATTTCTGGACTAAACAAGTAAAAAGTCAGTAGTTTAATCAAGTTTGCAGTTATAACGCTTTTGTGAGAAATTAAGCAAAAACTTTTGTAAACTCTTAAATGCAACAACAGATTACACATTTGATGCCAAATCCTTAAATCAGTGGAATATTGAACACTTGTGTGCCAAAAAAACATGACTGACTATTGTTTTATTACATGAATAACTTCTGCCATCTAGTGGATGAGGGTGTTATTTAAAAACTACTCCATATGTCTTTTAATCAAGCACGTGTTTAAGGATGTTTTACATGATTTAGAAAAGCTGGTAAACCATTGTATGTATATTTTATGTATTTTTCTTCGATTAATTTTTCAGCAATTATCCTTCTCATGAACAAACAGTACAGCAAAAATCTGTACCAAACACCGGATGTCAGATTTTACAAAAGCAAGAAAAATATGTAACTTAAAACCAGTAACCTTGAAAGTCTAACATGTATTTGTTTTTTTAAAGCATAACCTTGTGACACTGTCCTTTTGGTTCTTACATATTGTTCAAATTGCTGCTATTATCAACTGATTGTCCCATGTGTGGAAGAAATGCTGCTAATATATTCTACCCACGTTTTTGTGTAAAATATTACTTGTGTACATGTTGCTTGAACCACCTTGATCTTGAAAAACAGTGACTGTTTTGCCAGAATTATATGCCTTATGCATGATGCCGAAGATGATATTTGCTCTGAAAACACATACATGTGACAGTTCGAAATGGTCTGCAAGCAGTAAAATGAAAAATTTCACAGAAATTTAAGAAAAGGCATGTTTCTGCATCTCCTTTTTGTACAGGATGCATTTTGTTGTCATTCTTTACAGTAACACTGAAGAAATCTTAGGACTTTTCAGTGGAAAACTCTTTACAAGATGCTGTTCTTTACAAACCAGGAAAGCAAAAATGTATTTGAGGAGCTGCAATGTTAAGCAGAATGAACCTGAGTAATTTATGTCACTGTTAAAGGTTTCTAATGTCGCCTACCTTTATTCTGTTTAAACGTTTTGGCATGCCTGCTGCTTGCATGCCCTGCCTTTATAAACTCTGCACAGTAGCTCTGAGCCTTTCTGCAACTTAAGCTAATGGGGAAATCCTATATACCTTTAAAGATACAATGGAATGTATATTTATTAAATATCTTGCACACTACTGATGAAATGATTACTTAATTTTTACTCTTAATAATAAAAAAACAAGTATCTCATGATTGTTTTGTGATTGTGTCTTCAGGTGAGTGTTTCTAGTCAGTCATAACTTCTAATTATTTATTTGACTTTGTTACATTATTTATTATACGTTTATTAAATCTTTCATTGTAACATTAATGTAAAACATAAAATACATTTTATAAAACATATTTATTTACCGTGTCCCAAGGGGGGCCTTGTGGGGGGTTCTCCGGGAGTATGGGGTACTGGGCCATTCGAAACGGGCTGTCAGGTCCTGGTACGACCGGTGTCAGAGTCTGGTTCGCATTGCCGGCAGTAAGTCGGGCTCGTTTCCGGTGAGAGTTGGACTCCGCCAAGGCTGCCCTTTGTCACTGATTCTGTTCATTACTTTCATGGACAGAATTTCTAGGCGCAGCCGAGGTGTTGAGGGGATCTGTTTTGGTGGCCTTAGGATCGCATCTCTGCTTTTTGCGGATGATGTGGTCCTGTTGGCTTCATCGGAACGAGATCTGCAGCTCTCGCTGGAGCGGTTCGCGGCCGAGTGCCAAGCGGCCGGGATGAGGCTCAGTGCCTCCAAATCCGAGGCCATGGTCTTGAGCCGGAAAAGGGCAGAGTGGCCGGAAAAGGGCAGAGTGCCTTCTCCGGGTCAGGGAGGTCGCCCTGTCTCAAGTGGAGGAGTTCAAGTATCTGGGGAAATCTTGTTCACGAATCAGGGAAGAACGGAGCGGGAGATCGACAGGCGGATTGGCGCAGCGTCTGCTGTAAAGCGGGCGCTGTACYGGTCCGTCGTGGTGAAGAGAGAGCTGAGTCAGAAAGCGAAGCTCTCGATTTACCGGTCGATCTACGTTCCTACCCTCATCTATGGTCATGAGCTTTGGGTCATGACCGAAAGAACGAGGTCCCGGATACAAGCGGCCGAAACGGGTTTCCTCCGCAGGGTGGCTGGGCTCTCCCTTAGAGATAGGGTGAGAAGCTCGGTCATCCGGGAGGGACTCAGAGTAGAGCCACTGCTCCTCCATGTCGAGAGGAGCCAGTTGAGGTGGCTCGGGCATCTGGTAAGGATGCCTCCTGGACGCCTCCCTGGTGAGGTATTCCGGGCACGTCCCACAGGGAGGAGGCCCCGAGGAAGACCCAGGACACGCTGGAGGGACTATGTCTCTCGGCTGGCCTGGGAACGCCTTGGAGTTCCCCCGGAGGAGCTGGAAGAAGTGGCTGAGGAGAGGGAGGTCTGGGCCTCCCTTCTGAAGCTGCTGCCCCCGCGACCCGACCCCTGATAGGTGGAAGAAAATGGATGGATGGATGGATGGGATATTTATTGTGAACACTCTAAAAGGAAACTGAAAACAAAAACCGGTAAAGGGGGGAAGGCATTAAAGATAACATTATGTGACTAGTTGATTATTCTTCAAAAAAAAAAATCACAGTCGCTGTAATATGCTATTTTAAACTATACTCTATTTTATGAAACCAAAAAAGTATGGTGAGCAATCCTGGTCCTGGAGGGCCACAGCCCTGCATGTTGAACTTTTTCCCTGCTTCAACACAGATGATTCTGTCATTGAATTAACTCTTCCTGCAGAAGCCTGATAATCACCCATTCATTGAAATCAGGTGTGTTGGAGCAGAAAAACAAGTAAAATAAAACATGAAGGACTGCGGCCCTCGATGCCCACCCCTAAATAATTTAAAAGAAAAAGTTTTGCTCCTAACAAATATTTAAATATCTGACATTAACTCCTTCAAATAAAAAATCTTATTTCAGTCATTTGTCTAAGAGAAAATATAAAACATAACCGGACAATAGGATCTTGAAAACCTTTGTTTTATTATATGTTACAACGGCCTGCCATACCTGCTGCAAGACCTTCTAGCTTATGTAATGGTTACCGCAGCAACCGACTTAGCGTCACCACAGTGCGCTTCCAAATTCATGACTTCGCCTTTCCTCAAATCTCACAGAGACAAAGAAACGTCCGCGGCAGCCTCATGAGAACATGTTGTTGACGAAGGACTGCTTATCTGATGCCTTCACCCGTTTGGACGGGTTCTGTTCGTTCGAGCTGTAGAGAAGTTGGACCTGCAGAGCGTCGCTAACATGATGGCTGAAGATGACAGTGAGTGGATAGTGGAGAGCATCGTTGGCTACCTGGGAAGTCCCGAGTGGGTCATTCCTGTCTCGGACTTTATGGAAAACAAATGCACAGGTGATTAAAAGATAGCCTTACCGTTTTAGTTTTACTCTGAGCGAGCGGATGTCGACTTTCCGTGAACTATTACGGTACAAAAACGGGCGGTGGCTAAGCTAATAGGCTAATGCTAACTTGGAATGTTGTCGACGCAGCTACAGCAAGTTGTGTTTGTAATTTCTGCACAATTGGTGGTCTTATGTTGACACTTTGGTTAACAGTTATAAGCATTTAAATCTAATCTTGTGCAACATTAAATATAAGTGCATTTAAACTATTAGGGAAAAACCTCTGAATCATTATAGTTTTTTTTCCTTTCAGTTTTTGACGAGGAAGATGAAAACAAGTTATCATATACAGAAATCCACCATCAGTATAAAAAACTGGTGAGTATACTCAAATTAGCATGTAAAAAAAGGTTATTAAATTGGGTGTATTTGTCAAACAAGTGTCTAGTTTTTATTATGCAATGCTTCAGCATTTCCCATTTAATAGTTGTAAAACTGCTGAGTCGCCAAACTGGACTGCTGAAAGCTTCTTTTCCATTGCAGGTGGAGAAGCTGCTGGAGACTTACATGCAGGAGGTTGGCATCAATGAGCAGCAGCTAATGGATGCATGCACGTCTCCTTTTGCCAAGTCCCCAGCTCTGCAGGTATTTTCAGCTCCTTCTGCACACAACTGTCAGGCTGCCAGCTAGCCTGAGTCAATGGGATTTAATTACATAACTCATCCTACCCCATCCTTGGAGGATAAAAGGAGTTTTGTTTCAAATAAGTAAACCAAAGAACTAGATTTTGACCTCATCTGCACTTTTTTTTAACAAACTAAAGTTGCCTCACAAAGCATTCAACAACTTGCAGTTGCTTGCAAATGCTGTAAACTTTTTTCCCCTAACAAAATAATATAACTAGTCCTGAAATGCAGATCTTTTTAAACAAAGAAAGCTTTGATTCATTTAATCATTTATAATGGTCCGGTTCAAGCAACCAATCGTGGCACATCATGCGGTGGGCTGTCAGATCAGCAACAAACAATGTAAACAGCAGGTCTGCTGAAGTTTCTGTAAACACTGAACTACAATGTTTTGACAGTGACACGTTTCAGGCCCATTGAGGGAGCAGTCACTTATTTATCTAAATGATTTGATATTAAAAAGAAAAGGAGCGCACAAAAGTCAGTGACTTCACAGAGGTCTGTGTCAGAACTAAAACTCCAAGGTGAACCAACTTCCTTCATTTTGACTGAGTAACAGTGTTTATTTAGGCGAACATAATGCAACATATCGCTGCTCACGTTGTTGTTCTGTGATTGACGCAGCATATTACAGCTTAGTGACTACGGTGGTAACAGTTCTATAACAAACAGAACAAACTAAACAAAAGAGAAATTCACTATGCAACAATTGAGTCCAATGCAAAGCTTTGACACCTGAATTTATTATTTTTGTCAGTCCTATGATGGGTTTGTGAGCTTTAATGTTACGATTTTCTTTCGGTATAAGTATTTTTAAGGTTTTGTTTTCCTGAGCTTCCAGCTTTTACTAGATTTGCTGTGGTTGTTGTATTTCTTTCTTTACTTTTAATTTTTTCATAATTTACTTAACTTGTTCTACAAAGAACTTTAAAATGCTTGTTTTTGATTTGTATGCCCATTTGATGCAGATAGGAAACTTTAAAACATGCTGTGCGATTAAATAATTAAGGTCATTTTAAATTTTACTATTTATTTATTAGATTATTATTGTGACTGAGCAAGAAGTGTGCTGTAGTCGTGCCAACTTGGCAGTGACTGAATTCAGGACTGACTTTGCAGTCCTCAAGTGCTTCAAATCTCATTATATACCTCCCTAAGGTAAATATTTACTGCCTACAGAGACAGTTAAGTTTCCCTCAAACAAAATTAATCGCAGAGGTTGAGAGTTGTCCATGTGAAAATGCTATACAGTAAACACACACATTTGTCTTGTACAGGTTCAGATATAATAACTACATGGATATATTTGCTTATCTGTAGTCAGTATTGCCCAAATCTGCTTTAAAACCTCTATCAAATTTATATTTCAGTTTTAGAGTCCAAAGAAAATTATATTTATGCCTAAAAGGTGAGACTGAGATACTGTAAAATATCCAATTATGCTTGGTAAAAAAAATAAAATAAAAAACTTTATCTGCACTTTCTCTTCAATAAGTATTATACTTCTGCTGCAGATTAATATTAGAAATCTCACGAGACTTTTATTGCGATAAGTCTTTTAGCAATCTTCTGTTTCACTTTTTGCAGTTTGGATGTGATCAAGTCAACAAAAAGGGCAATGGGTTGAAAGATGGAGGGCAGATGTGCAAAGGGGAAAGGTTGAACTGAAAGGAGAAAAAAGAAAAGCTTATCTCTAAGAACTCTGGACGGTATTAAAGACTTCCCGGGCTGTAGCCTAGATACAGGACTGACTCCTAATAGAAACAGGAAGCCATTGAAAAAGATTAGCTGTTAATATCTCAGTGTTTGAAAACATCGCTTCGTTTACCCGGGGATTGTTAAATGCCTAAAATTCTTAAAGCACTTCCTGTTGTGATGCACAAGAAGGACTTGGTGTTAAAGTGAAACATACAAAAAAATCTAATCAGTTCAGTTTGATTTAAAGTAGAATTGTCCGAATCAACCTTATCTGATCTGAGTTACTAAGTTATTTGAAAATATCTCAAAGTTAATCTTTTTTAATGAAATAGTCGTATTAAAATGCAGAAAAATGCTATTTCCCCTTCAGCATAATTGAATAATCTAATATACTATGTACCTTTTTCCAGTACAGTTTGTACAACTGGAAATAAAAATAAAGCCACTGCAGATTAACGTCCTGTTTGACATCGTTGTCACTCAAATATTGTAGCTTGAGTTTCTATATGTTTTTTTTTATTTTTGTTCTCCAGCCTGTGTTCCAGCCAGTCCTTGCTACAGATGACTTCCAGATGTTTCGCTCATTAATGGTTCAGAAAAACATGGAGCTGCAGCTTCAAGCCCTCAGGGTCCTGAAAGAAAACAACGGTGGGTTGGTTCTGACAAGTTTACTGCTGTACAGCCACCAGCCACTTCCTTAAATACACCTGTCATTTCAGCCAATCACACGCTCGCAGCTCAGTGCATTTAGGCATCTAGACATGGTGAAGGCCAGAGCTGTAAAGTAACAAAGTACAAATACTTTGTTACTGTACTGAAGTAGAATTTTTTGGGTATCTGTACTTTACTTGAGTAATTTATTTTCAGCCTAGTTTTCTTAAATTTCTTAAATTTTCACACAATTATCTGTACATTTTACTCCTTACATTAAAAAAGCAAAAAGTAGAAAGTTGTTACTTTTATTTCATTTTTGCTTGTTTTCATTCCAGCTTATCGTAAAATAAATACTGTCCATACAAACTGTGCCTCCTAGATGGAGTGAATTTAACTGTGGTTGAATGAGAAGAAAAAATATATAAAATTCTGATACCGTATTAGTTTGTACACGAACAAATCATGTCACACTCCAGCAGGACATAATCATAAATAAAAGGACTGTACTTAAGAAGTATTTGTATTTCATGAATTATATTATTGCATTTGGCTGCAGCCCTCAGATAGATTTTTATTTTGGGGAAAAGGTTGGGCAGCCTTGATATATGTATATCAACTGAAACAGCTGGACTAGTGCATCCTAAATTTAACACAAATTAATTATTTTAATACAATATAGTCATTTCTGCATTTTTTGAGGAGGTCACATCCTACAGAAAATCTACCTGCTCATTTTAAATCAGTACGGACTTCAAAAAATATCAGATACTTTAAGACTTTTGCTCAAGTAATATACCTAAAGGAGACTTTAACTTTTACCAAAGTAATTTTTTTGGTAAGATACTTGTACTTTTACTCACGTATCACTTTATGGTACTTTATACAACACTGGTGAAGACTTAGCAAGGTGTACCTAATTTAGTGGCATCTGAGTGAGTATCCAAATACACAGCATCAGAGTGATTACTGTAACTAAAAGGTGTGTTTACATGTGCAGGGGCCCTTCCAGAGTGTCTGACTGACGGTGTTGACGTGATGACTGAGTTGCAGCAGCAAGAAATGAAAATCCTTGAGGAGGTTCTCAAGTATGTCTTCGCTGTCTACGTGCACAGTTTACATTTCGCCTGGTAAAATGTACCATATATCAGCACCACCTATGTGGCTGAATTGTTTTGATTATTATTGAAATGGTTATGGACAGATTTGCATATAAATATTAAGAGTCTGGTTTAAAACTCAAAGGATCAGTGATCAAAACGTGGATCCAGGATTGTTTTACCGTGTCTCACGCTGCTCTCATTTACAATGCATGGATACGATGCAGGTATCTTGAAGCTCCTATCCTAGATCGCTAATGGGATTGTGTCAGTGACAGCCAGGCCAAATAAAACGCAGAGAGTCCTATAGGAATGCGGTTAAGCTCCTTAGGGCTCAGCTAATTTAGGTTGGCCGGATTGATGGTCAAAATGCAACTGAGAAAATAGTATTTCTTCCTCTTTGTGTTCTAGGGCTACCGTGGGATTCCTCATCCTGCTTATCTCTTTTTTAGATGGCGCCAGCCTGATCTATCAGTTTAAAAAGAGTTTGGAATCTTCAAAACAAGAAGTAACAAATGTTCTAACTTAGATTCTACCGATTCCTTTCTTCTGCGCACGTTTTGAAAGAAGTATTTTCCCCAATGCCACTGCAGCTCCATTACAGCACAGTGTTAATAATTTTAAGGAAAAAAATTAAGATTTACAAATATCAAACAGGTTCTGTGTGCAGTAAACACCCAAAGAAGACCATGAGGTTTGAACTAACAGAGCTCAATGTGTGTCAGTCTGGTCAGGATGGTGTGGACTCCTAACAGGATTCCTGACAGGGAACAGCCCCTGGAACTACATCTCTCCTTCTCTGTCTCAGCTCCTACGAGCAAATGTGTTGCAGACGTCCACACTAAAGCAATCTAAATGAAATTAGGCCAAATTAAAGGATCTATTTATGGCTCCCAGCTGACACCTGGTAATAAGTTAAAGCACAGAGCTGTTAACACGTGGACACCATGTCTGTCAAAGTTTTAGTCTTTGGTGTCAGAGTTCTCATTCAGAGGCTGCGTGGACAGAAGATCTGCTCTTACCTCAAGAGTAAAAACATCTTATTTCATGTAAACTACTAAGGATTAGTCTGAACATGCACTTGAATGGTCTGTGGTAAGATTAGATCATACATCAAATATTTATAAATAGCTCTAATAATGTTTTTTTTTACTGATTTTTTATCTTTAGAAAGTCAAAAGAAGAATACGAAAAAGAAATGTCCAGGAGGCTGCTGTTCGAGGGGGAAACTGGTGCCACTTCCAGCAGCGGCACTCACAAGTCAATAAAAGCCAGTAGTGACTCTCAGATTACCACGTTAGGTCCAAGCCAGCCAAGCAACCCTTCCAAACCCACATCAGGTAACTCGTAAGACAACTATGATACTCGTGTTTTCTAAATTTTCAAAGGATCTACGTGTTAAAAATTCCCAACATTTGGTGTCCAGATTGTGGCAAAAACAGCATCCAGTCCAGAGTCCTTCCAACAGTAAGAGCTCCAGTAAAGTCCAGCGAGGTCTCCAACTCCAACAGCTCTCAAACTGTGGAGCCGAGTAGCAACGGCAGCCGTACTGCAGCCGAGGCTTGCCCGGAGCAGGCGTACAAGGAAGATGGCTTCTCGACGCCGTACACTGTGAGTTAACTGTCATGCGCCCAAGTTTAGGTTTTTTAAGTAAAGGACTTATGCAAAATCGACTTTTTTGAGTTTTTATATCATGTTATGATGTCATTCCCTCATCAGAAACATACGCTCTCTGGCTGTTTAAGTGATTTTCAGTTGTACTCAGTATTTTTCAACCCGTGCCCTCTGCAGCAGCTGTCCTCGTCAGAGCAGCAGCAGCAACTCCAGCAGAGGGCGCTGTACCTGTGTCAGCAGAGAGACAAGCTGCACGCGCTGAGGAAAGACCAACAAAAAAACAAGCAAACCACCACAGCAGAGGAGGCGCAATGCAGTCTCACAGCAGCAGCCTCTACCACCCCGGTAAACTCAGCCGGTCTTTGTCCTTTCCCTTTCACCTCTTTTGATAAGTTCAAGATCAACCACACTGTTGGAATAAACATTTGTACATTTTAACTGTATCTTCATCATTTAACTTAATAAATCAGGAATATGCACACTTTTTTTTAGATTTCACTCCATTTTGTCTCACCCTCACTCGTTTTTTATTTTATTTATTTGTTAAAAACCTTGATTTACTTGATTTCTGTTCTTTTTCCCCATCTTCCTGTGTCTGATCTCATCTGGTCTGGTCTATTAGGAGGCACAGGGACAACCCCAGATGAATGGGGCAAGTTCCCCTCCTCCTCTTCCTCCTCCTCCTTCAGCACAACCCTCTACTAACTCCTCTAAACAGAAGGTGATCCATCAGCTGCCTGATGTGAACACATCTACTCATTCATGCCATGTCTGTGTCTTGTTTTCTTCTATTCTCTTTAACACAACTTTACTCTCTTCATCTCAGAAAGAGGCATTGGTTAGTTTGTACTGTATGGGTACATTTGTGTGCTTGGCTGAATCCAAGTGATAATAGTGATTTATTAATTTTTTATTTTTTCATGGTTTCCCTTGAGGTTCATTAAGTCTTTGCCTGATCTGTTCCTGTTTACTCAGGAAATACCTCCTGAGGAAAAGAAGAAGCTGCAGAAGAGAAAACACCTGGCTGAGAAACTGAAAGAGGAAGTGGTCAAGAAATGAATTTGCTTCCAAATGCAGTACTCATGTTTAACCCTGTCTGCTCTGCGGTACTCGCAACGCTTCAGCTTTACACTGACTTTATACAACATAGCTCAGCTTTTGTTTTCATGAAAGTAAAACATAAGACATTATTTTCTTTGTATTGTTTGCTGTTTGCAGCACAAAGAGTCTTTTAAATCAAAAAGAAAAAAATTGTATAGGTCTTCTGGATGGGTTCTTCTCTAATGAAACGTTTCGTCTCTCCTCCAAGAGACTTCTTCAGTCTGAGAGTTTCAGGCAAAATTCAGGCTTTTAAGCCCTGCCTCCATGTGACTGATACGTCACATGGCTATCGTTGACACCTAATTAACACCTATTGTTAACAGTCACTCTTTCAGAGATGAGGATGTTCTCATTGTTGATAGAGAGGAACGTTGGTTTGAGAGAGGAGTAAAAG